AGCTGTAGTAATTGTTACATTTGTTAAACTGTATTATTATTATTATTATTATTATTATTATTATTATTATTATTATTAGTAGTAGTAGTAGTAGTAGTAGTAGTAGTAGTAGTAGTAGCAGCAGCAGCAGCAATAATAGTAGTAGTAGTCGTAATAGTAGTGGTTATAATAATAGTAGTAGCAATAATACAATAATAGTGCTAGTTATAATATAATAGTAATAGTACCGTATAGTAATAATGAAGTCTGTTACACACACACACACACACACACACACACACACATGTAGTTTCCATTAAGTTAGGTCTGGTTAAGTTAGATTTGTTTTTGTTACGTGATGTTTTATTTGGTATTTGGTTAAGTAAGGTTAAAATAGGTCTGGTTCAGTTAGGTTAAGAAAGGTTATATAAGGTTAAGTCTGATTAAGTAAGGTTATATTAGGTTAAGTCTGGTTCAGTTAGGTTTTATTAGGTTAAGTAAGGTTAAATTAGGTTAAGTCTGGTTCATTTAGGTTGGGTCGTAGTGCTCTCTATTCCCACAGCTTTTGGAAATAGTGGCGTAAAGTGTAAGCTAACTTCATGTGTGGTAATTTCCCTAGGCTCAACATCTCGAATAGTGTGCAGCGCAGTACAGTGATTATCTTCATCGGTTTCTTTGTCTTCGTCATTACAGGACATGTGTAAATTTTTGGGTTGTCTATTTTTTTCCCCTTTGATTTTGACTGACATGTTACCGTCAGCGGAATAATGTGTGCATTTTAGTCACACGTCCAATAACCTTTCATCGTTTGCTTCCGGCTTTGTTTTCAACTATAATTTTCGACGATGTTTGCAGCTTCTCGCTTAATAAGAGATGTCCCCAACCCACGGAACAAAATTTTAGTTAAAAATGAACATTTCAATTAACCTTTCAGCTGACATTTGGTCTTGATTGCTACCGCTCCGCCACCAACTTGTGTCACACACACACACACACGTTAAAATGTATCTTAGTTAAAAAGAATATTTTTTGCACCTAACGGAGGTAAAACTCAGAAGTGGAGCTGCATGTTTACAGCCTGTACTGTACAGACGATGCAAATAATTAATCACTGACCAACATAATATTAGTGTTATGTGGATTATTTTCTTTAACGGCCGCAAAACCGTGTGTTTACAGGTACAGTACTGTACAGTATATCTTTTGGCTTTCCGTCACGCCGTCCCGTCCCTCTCTCCGTGTCGAGTCGTATCTTAAAAACTAGGGAATATGTTCATGAAATTTCACGATACTGTGCATTAGCATAATGCTACAGTATTTGTCAAATAGAATTTGTGGGGTCTGTATCTCCAAGGTTAAATTAACAGCCAGAGGTCAAAATTAAACAAAACTAAACTGCTCGTGACCACCTCGTAACTTATGGTTAGGTCCGTATAGGGTGACCCAGACCAGCCATAAGTAAATGGTTACTTCTCTTTACAAGCTGGGGAAGTGAAGGTGGTTGAGTGCAGTACCGGCCACATTGCCTCCTTGTGTATCCTCACGGTTTCTCACTGTACATCACTCAAACGATACAAAATTAATACTAGTCACGGTACAAGCATGTCAGTACCAGGCTTGTTGAGGCTAAATCTAGAGATTTGATATATATTGAAATGCTCACATTTTCATGGACAGCTGACGCATGAAACAACCTTAACACGAAGTAACAATAACACATTAAAAACAACTGGGACAGTAAGACTTATGAAATCAACAGTCTCTGCGGTAGAAAGCATTAATAAGAGTGAAAAACGTTGATATTAGAGACGAGAAGGAGAAGAAAATTTAAGGAGAAAGTCATACTCGTAACATGTGGATAAAAACTCGCGTTATGTATTGACGGAGGATGTAGGAAGCTGACAGAGATACTGTACTGTTCATCCGGTAAGACAACAGTCGTTGGCAACACGTAGAAGACAACTTGTAATTTCTAGCTCAAATTTAATTTTCTTATTGTAAATTAAGCGTGTAAAGTAATTATTCTGTTGTGAACAATGATTTATACCGTCTGTGTAGTAAATATGGAGGCTTAAAAAGATATGATCATTTTACCATCCAGGAAAGTGAAGGATTTTTGTCCGATGGTTTTATACATAATTCACTCTTGTCCACACTGGCTCTACCCCATGAGTGTACACTTTACTGGAATTGGTCCATAAACTCTTTCCTGCATTTTTTATGGGATAATAGGACAGAAAACAGATAGGCGCAATCATTCAGGCCTTACATTTTTTTTATGGGGACCAGCCCACCCGGGCACAGGTCACTGATCCACATCAGGGACTGGGGCGAAAATGTAATAATAAAAATATTGATAATGATAATTATTCATAGTAAATAAAATTTATTATAAAAATACAAAATTGAAAATAAAGTAATAAAAGAATAATGATAATAATAACAACACTGTAATAATAATAATAATTAATAATAATAATAATAATAATAATAATAATAATAATAATAAAGTTATACAAAA